ATAGATTCGAACAGGTATACGATATCATCAGCGTACTCCAAATCGCACAGCTTTTCTCCCGCTACCCATTCAATACCTACGTTCTGGAGACCACTAAGTGCGTTCTCCAGTACTTCGACAACGACAAAATTGATCAGGAATGGCGAAATAGGGCACCCTTGACGGACACCGCTCCTGGTTTCGAACGATTTACTAAGCCCACCGTAAGCCCTTACGCTACCAGAAGTATGCAGATACAAAGATTAGTGATATATATATATATCTTTGTGAACAAGAAAAAAAAAATCTGGGGTGACTTGACAATACCGCACCCATAAACAAATCAGAGCAGAAAAAAGTTTTACGAGAAGAGAAAATCACCTGATTATCTCCACCATTTCGTCCGCTCCTTTTGGTGTTGCCGGAGGAGAACCACCACTAGGAAGAGAGAAGTATGGATGAAGTCGCTGCATCGGTGTGAGACGAGGAGCGGCCAAAGACGAACGTCCTCGTTGTTCTTCCGAACTACTCATGCCAGCCGAAGTTCCAGGATGATCCATTGTTGATGGTGAATATTTAGATGTTGGGATAACTTGATCATAAGTATCTGAATTGCGACCAACGGACTCAGTGTCGTGTATCAGAACCTGAAGAGGTTTCCTCGATTCCGAAAACCCATCTTTGTGATGCACTGGGTCTTGAGCCGGTGTAGTCGGATATGAGCATCGGCGAGTCAGCGAAGCACGAGGGAGCTCGGGAGACACGGAAAGATGCGCGTCTGAAAAAATCGATTTTTTGAAAAACTGGATCAAACTGACTTGTGCTTGGGAATCAGCATCCCCGATATCGATTTTTACTTAGCACTGAATTCGAAATAAAAGTATTACATTCGCTAAACGAACAAAAACGTTGGTAAAAAATTCAGTTCGCTGAGTCGAGTTGGTTTTGGGCTTCTTGATTCAGAACTTAGACGCCTCTAGTTCAAAGTTAGACTTTAAGCAACACGGACATCTGGTATAGGAAATGTTTGTGGATATCTTTACTGTTTAGGGTCATGTGAGTTTCAGTTTTAGTTTGTACAACTATCAACCACGCATATTCGTGCACCGGTTTTGGTTGCCCACTGGGATGAAGAACAGAAGAAAGGAAAGTTGAAAGTGGAGTCGAACAGAAAATGGAGAAGTCCAGTGGTATAAGGTTGCAAAGAAGTTGAGATGCACGAACGCCACTGTTTGCGACACCCAGCCATATCACTCAGTGTCTCTAACCATCAGTTACGATCATCCCGAGGTCCCCGGCCAGGGAGCCCAACAGGATCTATGTGACCCAGTCTCCCGGTCTTCATACCCTCATGCCAGGTCTTGGGTTGACCACCCTTGACTTCCCTCCACTCGATGTCTGCTTCGGCGAACACTGCTTGCCGTGGTAACCTATCTGGTGACATGCGTAATACATGCCCCAACTCTGTGGAGGTCGACCACTTACTGCAGTGGGCGACCGCGGATACCCAAAATTCTGCGCTTAACCTCAGCATTGCTCATTCGACTACCCCACCAGATTCGTGCATTGCTGCGTAGATAGCGATGTTCAAACACCAACAGCCTGTCTTTATCCCGTTTTCTTAATGGCCAAGTTTCTGCACTGTATAGCAGGACTGGCCGAACTGTCGCAGCATACACTCGACCCTTCACAGACAGCCGGATGTCGCGATGACGCCACAGATGTCTCAAGTTGGCAAATGCCAACCGAGCCTTCTGTATGTGAGCAGACACTTCATCCGTGATGCGTCCACCGGGTTATATGTAGCTGCTCAAATAACAAAACTTATCCACCTGCTCTATTATTTCCCTAGTTAGGGTGAGGCTGGGTGCTGGACCAACCCAGTCATGTGAACGTACTATCGTACAAATGAGTGATGTTCAGCTCAAGTTACTGGGTGTCTAGTCATCCAAAATAGTTCAGAAAATATGGCTCATGGAATTATAGCCCCCTAATAACTGTATCAACCTGAATTAATGAAATTCCTATATTACTAAGGTCTCGTTCCAATTTAATTCTTAGTACCCAAAATGTTCCGGCTGCTTGCACCGTATTTGTATGTACTTCATGCATGTTTGAATCCAAAGAGTATGCTGAAAAAATCACAGCACAGTAATCTTTATAAAAAGAAAGTGCCATGATTTGCTTGGAGGCGAAATACTGACAGATTGCCCGAACCCAGACAGGTGAATTTTCTTGGGGAATTCACAACCGGTGCCTTTGGATAACCAAAACCTGACTCGTAAGACAATAGCGGTGAAAAACGTGATACCGGCGTCTAATACATCGGATCATACATCCTTTGAGTCAAACGTCAAAAGTACCCGACAGACTTCGATGATTAATTGAGGTGACCACTGCCACGACCAAGAAGGCGCATGCAGTTGGTACACTCCTTGTTGGTGGGTTAGAATCAGGGGTTTTGGCCAACTCCTCTCTGAGTTGCTAGTGGTTTACTGATCCGGTTATAGGCCCGGATGCTGGCTTTTCGTCCTCGCACACCGCCAAAGGAAGGTGGTGAGCAGGGCTTCCCTGTCAGAGGCTACCTGAGACGCTTGGTCAAACAGGAGCAAGAGGATGAAAAGTAACAACCCAAGACGCTTAACCCCGAGCATACTGAGGGTGGCGCATATAATTAGTTCTTACTGAAACAGCAAATGTTTTCTCCACCAAAGCAGTGGTAGGATTCCACTATGAGGTTTTCAGAATTCATGGTGGCATTGTAAACCGCTTACATTGATTATTTCAATACGAAAAGCTTTGTTCATTTCTCTGCGGATAAGTTTAGCAGAGTGAACCCAGGTTTTCGTAGCTGTGATCCCGCCATGCTATTACCCAATAAAACAGGAGACAAGTTACTACTCTAGGGGAGGGAGTCGAAGGATGAGTATACAGGACAGAAGAAAAAGAAGGAAATACAAGTAAAGTGAACTAAGTCAACTGGAATGAGTGTATGTACCCTCGTAAGCGTACATGCAAAGCGCGACATTAACAATAAACTTCAAGAGGGTTTTACCATTGCCTAAAAAATATTTTTCAGAATTTTTGCTTGATTTAACGCCGTATCTTTCCTGATATGCAATCGAATTGATACGCTAATAATGGATCGCAGTATATGTTCAATGAGTAGAGCATTGAGTGAGGCAAAACTAGCAAAAAAGGAACGATAAAACTTTCCATATTGGACTTAAATTAGAGAAACTACGAGGAACGTACGACGAAAAGAATCGATAGCATCGGAACCACTGAAATTAACCGCTGAGGTTCTATGGTAGGATTGAAGGGAAAATCCGGTTCGATCGAAGTCCAACAAATCTTCGTGAACACAATGTAGAATGAAAGCTGTTAAAAGTTCAAGCATATTGGATACAGCCCTTCGATCCCCAGAAATAACATCGGCCGGACAAATGTGGTCCAACTGGAGATCGATTTCCTGGGACAATTTGCTGAGAACTGCAGCAATATTTTCTTCACGGTGCAATTTGCTCTGTGGATGCAGATAGGGTACTACCCCAATAAGAACTCAATAAAACATACCCAAATCACTGCCAAAAAGTATGACAGCAATCCCTGTCAGAAAATCATCTGAAACTTCACTAGCATTCTGGATCCTGGGTGCCTCCCTCAACATTTTCAGAGCACAGTTGGCGAAATCAGTCAAACCTTCTGAATTGTAAATAAGTGAAGAAACGCTCACCTTCATCCGACGTGATCCGCGGAATTCCATCGACAGACATCCTGAGGCACCCGGAAGGCTGTAAACAAAGACAGTTTTAGTTCTCCGAGACATCACGATATAACAGTGGGGAAGAATACATGGCGATTGGCAAATAACTGATCAAAATTTAGCGTCCTACACTCAATCCCGTGCACCGAATCACCAGCTGTTCATGACCGAAAAAAACGAGCTTATCCTAATTGCTTATTTAATTTCCCTCAATTTGACATGATGCTGAAAGAACGTTTCTGATGCGCATCATACAGGTCAGACTCCTAAGGTAACATCAGAAATGAAGCATTAAAACCGTTGTCGACTACTGCATAAACGACTACAGTTCATAGAAAATCCGGCGCACTGTGGATAATTTTGAGGTTACGTCAGTCTTATGAGCTTCAGTACCGTTTCCCTGGGTTTCCTCAAGTTACCAGGAATAGCAGCCTCATCTTGCTTGATGCACCTCGACTTCGTTTAAGGCGGATATAATGCAAATTTCGTTAGCTGAACCGGTAAGGAGTTCCAGAGATTTATTTGTGTTCTCGGGAAACGGAAATATAAACCGAAGAACTCTGAGATCAGAAATTTCATTAAAAAAAACTGAACATTCGCTTCGCCTCTGTGCATATACCCGGGGTATCGAAAAGACGTATTAAGGGATGCTACATACGCCTTAAGATGCGTCACACCCACCGTCGACCAACGATCGCAGTGTTCCCTGACCTCAAAGGAACCTTTGACTCAGGTGACCGCGAAGCTTGAATGGGTTCCCTTTTGAGAAAAGGAATACCCCAAAAGTGCGTAACCGTATTCAAATACCTCCGATCGTTTAAGGGTTTACTACGAACTAAGTAAGCCGTTCGAACGGAGCACGGTGACGATCGTCACCAGCAGCGGCGTTCCTCAGGGGTGTCCTCTTTCGCCGTTCCTGATAATTTCGTCGTAGACGAAATACCGGGGAACGCACTAAGTGGACTCCGAAACGTAGATATTGAATGGGCAGCTGGATGAAGCTGTGCGATTTGGAGTACGCCGATGACATCGTCTGTCTGTTCGAATGTTTGGAGGACGCGCAAAGCGCACTTCATAGACTAACAACTGTTGATGCCATATTTGTTAAGTACTCTGCATCTAGGAAGTGCAAAGTTATGCTGCAAGACTGGGTTTCGCCTACTCTCACTACGAAACTAGGTGTTTATGCAGTTTGGTCCACGTGGAATAAAGCGAACGGATTATAAAGCCGGAGGTAAGCCGCCCTGTGTTTGGGAGTCTATCAGGTATAAACCTGTTAGATGAGTAAGCTCCGCTGGCTATGGCACGTATTGCCGCGCTTCATTCACTGTAGCTAATCCGGGCTGAAGGAAACCACGTGGAGGTCAACAGATGACGTGGAGACGAGACATGAAGAAATGCACAGAGCTATTTGGTGGAGTAGCTATCTCGCGCCTTCCTGGTTGGGGTCTGAAATATTCCACAACCGGTTAGTTGAAGACATCGAAGGATATGGTAGCAAACCGACATTAGTGGAGTTCTTGTCGTTTCTTATCAGGTGAGAATGCTTGAGACGCAGAGTTCGACTGTGTACTCTATGTTGACCGTAGAGATTCACCTTCCCCCTCCCTCAAATCCCTGTCCACCGTAACTATAACCAACAACCTGGTATGCACTGCGAATTTTGGCAGCGATAAGTGAAGTCCGCCTCACTGTATTTCGCCGTACGATGATGAAAAAACTCTCACGCTGCCCAGGTCAAAGTCCTAAGCATACAATACACTGATGCCTGATCGAGCCAGTGACAACCGCCTCAACCAAGACGCGGTTTATACACGTACTGCCGCTCAATACATTGTTTCATCTCGATTTCGTTCTTCATACTATTGCAGACGTTACAAGCTTCAACAAAGATGTAACTCATTGGAGCCCTATGTGGTTCGCCACCCCAAGTCCCGGGGCTCAGGTTACCCGTTCCCAAGACGGAGCAGCTAGTATTCATGACTATGGGGTTCCACCCCGTCTGTTGCTCACCATACAAAGGTGTAATAAATGAAAAAATATCCCCATGATAAAGTTCACTATGGGTTTCGGACCATGGAACCTAAGGGATTACATCTTTAGTCTAGCAGATCACAAACCTAATGCGCGTTCACAGATCCGTTGCAGTAAAGGACACATTAAATAACACACTAGAGCCATCGGAGCAGGTCCGTTAGTAACAATTTTATGGTTCGATACGTATGACGAACACGACGTTGCCGATCAAAATCTTCGAATTCGGAAGATCAAATTTAATCTTAAAAAATAGGCAGTCCAAAAAAGTATTATTAATATTTGGAAGCCAGTCGTCCTACGTCCGCAAGAAATGCAGTGCTTCATTAAAATGGAATAATCTCCCGCTTATATGAATTTTAGGAAACCATCCGGTTGAGTACCTTTTGACCCACGTATACCATATATGACATGATTCATCAGTTCGTAGTGCGAGAAATATGAAAACGAAACTGGGATGACATCCAATCAACAAAGTGAACGAAATTTATCCGACGCTTGGTCATAAAGCAATTCTGGGAATATATTAAAAACCATTAGAATGACACCAAACACGCAGAGACCGAATAATTTCTGATTTCATAATTGCGGCAAAAAAACTGAACATTTAAACAAGGATAAATTTTTAAATTTCTGTTCAAGTCAGGTCAGAGAGTAATGTAACGTTTGCTATCGCGCGTTTAGTTCGCTGTGTTCTTGGTCAATATTCTGTGCTTCCAACACTGCGTATTCGATTGCTCAATGGTCAGGTCAGGTCGGGTCAGTTTGCACTCGAGAGTTCAAAGTGCACGAGACTGATAAAATCTTGAAGTGTTTCACGGGTTCCAGGGTAGACAAAATGGTTCTGTAACTTGGTTATTGACGCCTTTCGATGGATAGCTAATGCCCGCTAGTGAGAAGTGAGCTCCCGCGCGGTTTAAAAATTGGTCGTGGTTTGTTTCGTATCTATTTTTTGCGTTAACTCTTAGATTTAGCCTAGATTTTAGGAATCTGATTGACATTACAGGTGTTGCTATAGCCTTTAAGTGTTGTGGTAGTCACTATCTTTAGTTGTAACCATTGTGGTAGTATTCTGTAGTTTTTGTTAATTATCCTCGGTATGGGTGGTCGCATTCTTAGAAGTTACACCACCGGTATATCAACAACCAGGAGTACCGCTGCTAAAAGCCCGTGTAAAGCGAGGAATACACCTCAGGTCACGGAGTACCCATGTGGTATTGCTAGCTGCTCAACCGATGTCAGGGACAGCATCGACTGCGACAGCTGTGTGAAGCGGTACCATCAGGCTCGCAGTGGCCTAAAGGACAAAGCGTTGATACTCTACACGGAACACAAAGTGCTCAAGTGGGTGTGCAAGGGGTGCATTAAGGTACGCAAGACGGCTGCAAGATAGCCGAGTACTCCAACCAACACCGAAAGTAACACCACATGTAGTAGCTCAGATTCTGGACGAAGGGATAAGACGGTGATAAACCAATACCAAGGATGGAGTAAGTACAAATGACCAACAAGGACGTCGATAGGATTGACACAATGAAAGGGAAAATCGAAGAGCTAGAGGTTAAGACCAGTCAACAAGAGGGGCACTTGGAGGCCCTCCTGCAGAAGGTTAATCGGCTTGTGACGGCCATGCTCAAACTTGAGGCCAGCAGTGAGATAGCACTGGGCAGAACGTAACGTAGTAATTGAAGGCATTACTGAGCCTCTATGTGTAAACCCAAAACAGAGGGAAAGGGAACTCCGACACTCGGTCACCAACCTGCTGAGGACGGCAAATATCCCCGGCCACGTTTTTCTCAAAAGGGTATTTAGATTGGGTAAATGGGCCGGAAGAACGGATAATNAGTTCGGGAACCCGAAATATCGGGACGCTTTCCTGACAGAAAAAGTGAGGATGGCGACTTCGGGTTTGGTCATAATTGAACCCAATCGCTTTAATATGGGGAGGGGGAATTGAGAGACGTATCCACTTCGAGGGGGCCATCGCTAGCTGGCCAGTGGAGGTCACCACGGTTAGCGATTGAAAGAGTGCAAAGTAAGCTCACGCAGAATACCGACGCGACCCCTCGAGAAACGTATGCCAGTATTGCTGGGCGTAGCCTCGGAAACCTATTAAGTCGGATGTTCAGGATGATCACCTCATCTCCGATAACAATGCCACAGGGAGAGGCTGCAAGCACCCAGACAACCTATACGCCAACTACCACTACCAGGGTCCCAAAAAACGGATTCAGCCTTCGGGGGAGAGACCCGAGGGACTGCCAGTGAAAGAACAGGGAATGGAACTCATACTCGGGCCGAAAACTAGGCACCCCAGAGACCAGTCGACCGNNNGACCGAAGAGAATCGACCCGAGTGGAACATATAAAAAAGCCTGAAATAGATGGTAGGGTTGCTGAGGGGGTCTCCGAAGTAGAGGGGGAAAGATGAAAATCAAACAAGTTCCAGATAGCGACACAAGCCACCAGTGCCCTAAGCCAAACATGAAACTGCTGGCTAGGACAGTTTTGAAATGCTCCTTACAAATGCGTGTACCATTAGTAACAAATGGGCGGTGCTAAAAGCATAGGCCTTGGGTGTACAGTGCATGGCCATTACAGAGATATGGCTGAAGCCAGAAGAGAGTATCAGCAAGTACTTTTTGTAAGACTTTTGTACCTATAG